TTTGATTGAAACCACAACCAAAAATTGTACTATTAAAACTTTCTTATTTAGGTAATAAAAACAAACAATAAAACAAGTTAAGCTAAAGAGAATTGTTTCCCATCGAAGAATAAAAATTATTAATAGAAAAATATAAGAATAAATGGAAAATTTCAAACTATATAGCTGTTTTTCTTTATTAACATTTTAGAGGATAACTTTTTAGTTTTCAAAAAGCATAATTGTTAAATTTTTTTAATCGAAGAAAATTTTCACCATGTATCTATTAAGTACAAATAAAAATTAAATAGAAGCAGAAGAGAGGATGAACCTTTTGAGACTTACGTGTAACAGTTTGTTTTAGAATTCTCATTTCTATATATTGTATATCTGGGCCATATAATTTTGAAATTTTCTTTAAAAAATAATATTTTAAGACAAATTTGGAGAAAGCTTCCTTTTCCTAACAGTAACACATTTAAGATGTGCATACTTATGATGCATCCATGTATACTTGCGTGACTTATCTACATTCATGCAATTGCATTTCACAATATTGTAAATACACAATTTTTAGAGCAAGATGATTCAAAATGTAAATAATTATACTTTACTTTGCCATGAGATAATTAAAGCAGCTTTTTCAAATCCAGAAAGAAAATAACTGTACGTTTAATTAAATCAATTATTAAACTTTTACCATCTAAATTTTTTTATTTGGTAAAATGCACAATAAATGAATGAATTAATTTTTCCAAATCTTGCATCACATCAAGTTAAAACAAAATTTTTATAATAATAAATATACAAAAATTTAAGTGACACATTGCTTGCTTATTATACCATCAACAATAATTATTATTTTTGTTCTTATCTTTTTGAAGTTCGTATATTATTTCAGATGAATTATTTGAAAAAAAAAGTAAAGTAAATATTTCTTTCCTATTTCTAAGCTTTTGCGCTAAAAGTATAAAAAATTTTAAAGAAACAAAACAAATGAGACAAATTAATTATGCTTTTTTGTTTACTTCCATAAATGCAAAAGCTGTAATTATGCATTTAAATAACGAAGGAGCACAACCTTAAAATAGAGTGAGAATGTTTTCTTATTTCGCACTTACAAATTGTAAGGTACTCGTAATTCAGTTATAAATTACATGAAACAAAATTTCGTGAACAAATCATTGCATTTAAAATGGTATGATGAAATCCTTAGCTGAATAAAAAATATATATAAATGATTTTGCTGTGTACTGAGGGTGATAATTGAATAATCATTCAGTTATCATACTCAATAATCAAAATAATTTTTTTTAATTTTTAGAGAATTCCTCATGTTAGAAAAAAAAAAGATGATTGTAATTTTTTCAAAAAGAGAAAGATGAGTATTATAAATGTAAAACAAAATTAACGGTCACACTGGCCAGAGGGTGACTAATAAAAAAAAATTGCGATTAAGAAACCACCTCTTAATCGACTCATTTTTTTCACAGAAAATACAATTATTTTAAACTTGTTTTGAAATAAATTAGTTATGCTTATCATTAAATATAAATGCATGTTACACTGTTAGATCAAATACTCAAAGAACCCTTAATTTTACAAATTGAAAACGTTACATACAATGCTTTAAAGTTAACGTAAATCTATTTAGAGAGGTCAGGAAAATTTTTCTTCTTAGAAATAAGCTCTGTAGTGTTTTCATATTTCGAAAAATGCTTCAAAAGAAGTACTTTACATAAATACAATTAGATATTTTCCATTCCTCAGAATTTTCAATTCTTTAAAAGTTGCTACTAAAGACCTCTGGCTGATAGCAACACTTCCTAATTTTGCAACTATAATTACATAGAAATTGCTTGAAATGGTTAATATGAATAAATAGGTTTTTTTATTTTTTAGAACATGTTCACATTTCTTAAGTTATTAGTTTTCGATTCATTGTTCAATATATTTGATTTTTTCATTCATTAATTTTTAAAGACAGTGGTTAATTTAATTTTTTCTCTCAGATGTTTTGAACATTACAACAGTGTAATTAAAACTTCACAAAAATCCATATTTTTACATTTTCACAATATGTAAATACATAATATAAAAATTATGAATCAAACGTTTCTGCACTTAAGAAAGCTCTTTTTTTATTTTTTGCCTCCAAGAGGAAAAAATTACTTTAGAAGCAGCAGGGAATTTCGTTACCTAAATAATTTTTTTTTGAAAAATGTGCGTTAATAAACAGTATATGATTCTAAATTTTGCCTCAACGCAAATGATGTGCTTTTACTTCATTTCAAAGAAGGATATTGTTTCTCTTGCAGATTAATCAGGCCAGAAATTTGAAGTGTGTTTTAGAACGCGTGCACTAAATGTCATAATTCCATTATAAAATTCTCTGAATTCACAGAAACTTTCGATTATTGAAAAAAACAAGTGCATTCAATTTTGTTTTCGGGCAACATTCCACGTTTTCCTCTGATATGAAAATACTTACCTATGATCCCAAAAAACAAAATTTATGTGGCACAATTTTTAGATGAATTGGCTCTATGTTGTCTGGCGGAACAAATAAACCACAACTCATTGAAAAACATGCACTTAAATTAAATACTTTTGAAAAAAAGAACATGTGTATTAGAAAAGAAAATTCCTTCTAAGGGTATTTGATTTCACATACATAAAAAACAAAATTGAAACAGTTTAGTAAAAGTAAAAGAAAGCTCTAAAAATAAAAGTACATTGGGCAAAGCAGCACTCATACATTTTTATCCTTTTAAAACACATAAAACGTTCTAACCTCAAAAATATTTTTAAACAAAACTGATCTGCTGAATTCTTTTTAAATAAGCAAAAATTGGATAATGAAGAAACTCTCTTAATTCCTATTGACTCCCAAAATGAGTAAATCTATATTTCATATAAAAATTAAGATATTAAATTTTTTTTTAACAAGTCTGTATTTTAATTTTTTAACAGATTGATGCAGTTACTTTTAAGAAATCGACTGTCATCTTTTGTAATCCAATTTTCTCTTAGTAAAAATTAACGAAATTTAATTTAGCCTAAATCCCCGGAAACTAGATAAAAGTTCAAAAAACTCTCTAAAATAAAATACTTAGTCACACCTAGCCTTAAAGAGACAAAATACCATCCGTCTTCCTTTTCATGCAAAAGAAGAAAAAAAATGTTATAGTGATCGAAAGTTACGAAAGTCAATTTCGAAAGTATATGAAGGAAGTTCGATAATTAAACAGCATGTTTTAGCAGCTTAGCTCTCAAAGTTTTTCGAGTTACATGTTTATGAATTATTCTCTAAGAAAATTGAAAAATAGTAAAATTTCAGTAATCTGCAGAAAAATATATAGAAAAAAGTTCCAATGGTTCCAAAAGTTCTAATCAAGATTAACGCCTGAAATTGCAAACATAAAAGAAGATGAACGTCACTGGGGCCCCGGGTGCGTGAAGCTCCGTATTTGCTTAAATCTACAATTCTTATTGACACATATCAAATCTTTTTTAAGGCGCGATTTTTTTTTGAATTTACAAATCTTTAAAGTTTCAAATTTATAAAAATAAGAAATATTTTCATTCAAGTATTCCTTAAGTTTAAAAAATTGCTTTTAATTCGTAAAGAAATATGTAATTTTTCTTCTTTCAAGAATTCAAGATATTTGAAAACAATTCGAAACATAAATTTAAAAAAGAAATATTTTACAAACAAAACAGTCTTGTAGATTTAAACAAACCCCCTGGGGAAAAGAATTTTTGAAGTAGTTTTATTTTTAAGCAGAAAAACTTAAGTTAGCTTCTATCAACTGTAATTTTAAGTAAACAACTTTCAAGTCACGATAATGAGCTCTCATTTTAATTATTTAATAGGTTAGAATTCCGGTTTTGGGACTGCACCCAAAGCCTAGGTAATATTTAAAAATCAGTAACTCTAATGAAATACAGATCATGAATTACATTCATCCCTGTCATATACTCATAAGTGTCACATACAGATTTTCGAAGTTTGTCTTCTGAGTTTGATTAAAAATTTCAATGATTTATAGTTACTTTATTTTCAAAAACTCGTCAAATCGCGATGTGAGATGCAGTTGAAAATGTTGCTCTTATTTAATTAAACGCATAGAAAAAAGTTCAAATTTGAACATTGCACTAACCGGATCAGAACTTTGGAAGACGCAAGCTTTAAATGAGAAAAATCAGAAACTTGTAATCCATCAAAATATATGCTAAAATATCAGACAATCAAACTATAACTTGATTACAAAGATTATTTCGCTATTAAATTTTATAAAATTCAAAGTATTGATTGTGCCTTTTCTACAAAATTTCAAGCATTGTTTAGTTACACAACTCAGGGAAAAATAAGCAGTAAAATGAAAAATTGTATATGGGTCATTCTCACGAAAACTGTCATTTTTCAGTTCATAAAATCCCAAAAAAGTAAATGGAATAAAAAGCTCTGAAACTTTTTATATTAATAGAAATATGTAATGGCATTATAAAGAAAGTATATATCCTATAAATTATACTTAATATTTAAATTAATTAATTTTTTAAATAATTAATTTATAATTAATTAATTTATAATAATTAATAATTAATTAATTAATTTAATAAATAAATTAATTAATTTAATAAATTAATTTATTAATTTTTTAATTTATTTTTCAAATTAATTAATAAGTAAATTAATTATTTTCACTATTTAAAAAGTGAGGGAATGACACTAATAGTGAGGGAATGATATTTTATTTTAATACATGTTTTTATCTAAGTTACATCTACCTAAAGTTTGAAAATGATAACATACTAAGTATATCTAATATTTATTATAATTTAGTCTTATATATTTAATAGTTTTTACAGGTTTGGGAAATAAAATTGGCTGGCACGATTGAACAAAAAAAAATTTAATAATATACTCATCTTGAATCATTCCCTCACTTCAGCGTCATTCCCTCACTTTATACACTAGTGAGGGAATGACGAATTCAATAAAATTTAAAAATAACAGTTAGGCCTAATTAATTTCTGAAGTCAATCGCATACAATTATATTCATACAAGAAAGCAACCAGGATTCTTTTTGTGTAAATATAATTTGCCGATATACAGAGCTTTGAGATTTTAAAAGAGCAGTTGCTGAAAATTTAAACAGTTGAGCAAGTTGAAGACGAGGCAGTTCTTGGTTATCGCCACAAGCTTGTTGTTGAGATTGCACTTTTCTGTTGAGACTAGGTGCCTTTTTGTGTTCGTTTCTTAATTTCAAAGAACTAGTAAAACATGAAGATACAAAACAAAAAAGTGAATAATAATATGAGCCCTACTAGCTGTATTTGTATGAAAACGAGGAAATTTATAAATAGCGAATCCTTAAAAGCACGTTAGACTCTTATCCCTTTCTTAATGGTAAGTTAATACTTGGGTAAATTTGATCAGGATATAAATAGTTATCCCCTGAAAAACCGAAAAGTAATTTATTTGTAGCCGCTTATGTAACAATTAATAACAAAATGTTAAAACAAGCAATGATAATACTTACCTATAATAACAAATGAGTTCACGTCGCTTAAAACGTAATTGATCTCAATCGAAGTACAGGCGTGTAAGCCCTGGACGAAATTTAATTTTTTTCACAGACTCGATCTATGGCCCTCAAAATAATAAAAATATCTGAAAAAAATGGCCCCAATAGTTTAGTCAGCGGATGAAAATTAGGAGTCCAAAAGAAACACGAGGCGGAGGGAGTAAAAGGACCTATTGTTAGGGGTAAAATTTTCTGATTCTCATTAACTTCCATCCATTCTTTTGCTTATATAGACAATCATTTAAGACAAGATGAGATGAGATAAACCATAAATGTCAGACGCAACCGATGTTTACGTGAATATTGTTTTTTCTTCAATCTACAGTACTGATGGCTAAAAAATATTTTTGGGGAAAATGAAATTTTTATGAATATTTTAAATCATTTTCCATAACATAAAAGACGAACTTTTAACAAAAATGAAAAAAAAAAAGTCAAGAATTGTACTTATCCATTTCCGGGTCCGGACAATTGTGCAACAGGATTTGCAAGACATCATCCAGACTTGCCATCAAAATTTAAAAGACACCATCCTACAAGAAACAGGATCAAATATTACAAATCAATTTAAAGAATATATAAAGAATAATAAGACTAATACCAATAAACGAAACAACCATTACCAATAAAATTAAATTAAAAACTGTGCAATGTTGGATAGCTGGATAGTCATTGATATAAACTGAGATAAATAAAAAAAAAAAAACTGATTTTTTTTAGAATTTTTTTTACTTTACTTAAAATCTGCTTTTCGTTTGATTCATTTAAAGATATAGGTCCCAAATTTAAAATAACTAAACCTTTAGGAAACATTTCAGAAAATCTTTTTATAACTATTTAAATTTTCTATAAACAATTTAAAAAAACATCTTTTATATTATAAATATTACATTATAAAAAATGAACATTAACTCATTTTTATAAATATATGCTTATACATTACAATTCCAGTCTTTGCGCAAATTAATATCTAATAATGCTGGTAAAAGTGCGATTTCCCCTTGACCCTATGCTATAAGTTCAGGTAAAAAAAAAATCCAACTTTATTAGCGTTAATGATTTTATGTATATATAAAATAAACATTTTATAATCCTATGACTCCCTAAATTTTAATTTAAGGAAGCATAAATTACATCAACATTTTTAACTGTCAAAGCCTCCAGACACTCTAGCTATATAAAGCACTTAGTTACAGCCTTAGTTATAAAGTACTTACTACACCCCCCTCCCTGACGGTTCAACGCTGAACTAACTAGCTGGAGACTCGCAGATCAGAACACTATTGCAGTCACAAGCAGTCCATAGTAGTTTGACCCTTTACCCACAAATTTGCTTATTATTGCCACAATATTGTTTTGTTAATCGAATAAACCCTTCCCGGGGGGAGGAGGAACAGAGACTGTTCGAGACAAACTAAGTTTCCCTAAGTTTAAATTCCAAATGTAGTATTCTCAGAAAATATTTCTACTTTTACAAGCATCGAGTGCGCATTCTTATTTAATATTATATCATATTTTTTTTTGTAAATAAATAATCGATCGATTTATATTTATTCATAAAATTAATTATTAGAATATTATGCAAATAATATCTGGCAATTTTTTAAATAAAATATTATAAATTTAAAAATTGTTAAAGTTTACTTAATGCGTAACACATTAAAAGTGATGCATTACTAAGTTGTGTTATTTAAAATATGTCAATTGAAATTATTAAAAATGTGAGTGATTTTATTTCCATTATTCGTCCGAAATAAATATTCTGTGTTGAGCAGTATAGGCTAAATACCAAATATTTGTATGTTACATCTCTAAATTAGTAGCAGCAATTGTTGAGCAGAATCTTGTATCTATTTACAATTTAAAAACTTCTTGGAAAGGTTTTTAGCAATAATAGGACCCTATTTGCACAAATTCACAAAAGCAGGACTCTGGTTGAAAAAATGTGACTTAACGTTCATTTTATATTCACAAATTATGAATAGTTTTTTCACAATTTTACAAAACCAGGACCTTTCACAAAATGTCTGGACAGACCCTTGCATTTGTACAATGCTTTGTTAGTATGGCCAATAAAAAGTTTGCACTATATAGTACTCCATTGTGCGGGGCATGTTCCTATTTTTATAAGTTTGGCGACGAATCCGCGGAACATTCTACTCGATTCTTGCATAACTCCGTCCATCTATCACTTTGAGCTGCGATGGCTCAGGGGATAGAGCGTTCGCCTTCCAATGAGGTGAACCAGGTTCGTATTCCGGAGATGGCTGGTCGATACGAATCTGCATCCGGCTTACAACGACCACAGTGCTGACGGAAAATATCCTCATTGGTAGAAAGATCATGGGCAAGAGTCCCTTTGCCGTCAGGCTAAGCGTGGGAGGTTTTCGTGGTCTTCCTTTCCATGTAACGCTAATGCGGGTCGGTTCCATCAAAAAGTCGTCCACGAAGGAAAATTTCTCCCAATACTTGATCCAGGAGTTCCCTTGTCTTCTGGATTTGGTTCAAAATTACAAGGCTACGGATTTGAACATTAGAAGTCGCAAACCCGAAAATCGGGTCCGCTGTTCAACAACGGTTATAAGATAAAATCTATCACTTTGAAACTCAGCTTCCAGACCAAAAATTTTATCGTCAAAATGGTCACTAAGGTTACTTCCAAGACGGCAAAAGTGTGGCCAAACTGATACATAACGCGTTATTTTCTCTCAAAATTACGTTAGAATCACGCCCCAGTCTTGCAAATTTTTTAACTAATCTATTTATTTAGGGTCGGTCTGAAACATTTAACTCATAACAGAAGAATCTTTACAAATTTAAGATAGATTTGCTAATTTGTAACAATACTTTGTCAATTAAATATTATTTCAAAATTTAATGAGGACGATTAAAAATGACTGATAAGCTGCATTAATTATACAGTCCCATACTAAGTATGCTTTAGTACTAATTATTTAATAATAAAAAAATAGCAAGTGTGAATAAAAATAAATAAAATGCTTTTATGCCAATTATTTCAGGATAATGGAGCTCTAAATATAACATGTTTCTTAACAGAATATAGCATTAAATAAAATATTATAGGTACATCTAAAAATATATCTTCGAAAGAAATTTAAAAAAACACGCTCGAATTTTTTTTTTTTTAAACTGTTTTTTAAAACCGGCCAACCCTTTTTACAAAGCTAGTTTTTTTAAACCGCTTAACACTGATTATAAGCAGCATTATTGTCTTAAATTTGGATTGAGAATATAGGTTCGATGATATTAAATTGTTGAAAGCGCTTTTCAAATTGATCTTGAAGTAATTGGAGGTTGATGACAAATGTTATTAAGACAGTTTCACTGTCATCTATCATTTTTCTCGTGTTTGGAAAATGTACAAGAGACTTCATTTTCAAATGTGATATCCAGAATACTAACTTAGTTCTGAACGAGTTTATAACCCTTATCATTCTTGCTATAAGTTTGTCTTTTCCCTGGAGCTCCAAGTTTAAATTATTTAGTTTTTCAATCATGTCTGTTACGAAACATAAATCTCCTAGCCAAAGAGGATCTCTTAGTTCTAAAAATATTTGATTTTTGGCTGCAAGATAATTTTTTATTTCTTCGATTAAATGTATAAATCTATCAAGTACTTTGCCTTTACTGAGCCAGCGTACTTCAGTATGTAAAATGAGGTCAGCATCATCAGGATTTCGTAACAGGGCCTTGAAAAGTCAAAGTACAAAGGAGCTGCTAGAATTAAGTTAACTATTTCGGTAATAATTATTATTACGTGTAACAATTGTACTAATTTACCGCATTAATTTTTGCATATCATTTTATGGGAAAATTGAAATATTTTATCGTTGGGCACAAGCAGCGGGCGCACCTAGACCGATCGACGGGTGCCATGGTCTATAACCATTGTAACTCAGACTCGACTGTTATCACTTGCGTTGAACTGCTTACTCAAGTTTGAGTTTACGACTATCGATGTTCAACTCCTTAACGTTTTAATTTCGAACTTAATCCAGGAGATCAGGGAACTCCTGAAGCAAGCTTGGGAGAATTTTGCTTTTGTAGAAGACTTTTTGGATGGAACTAACCGCATTTGCGTAACATGGGGAAAAAAACCACGAAAATCTCCCACGTTTAACCTGACGGCAAAGGGACTCTAAGCCATGATCCGTCTACCATTGAGGATATTTTACGTCAGCACTGTGGTCGGTGCGAGTCGGGTGCGGAATTAGCTTCAAACAAATTCGTTTTCTGCGGCACCTTTGTAAGTGCTAATGGAGACGCAGTTTTTTTTTCAGCACAAAAATTTTTAGCATGGAAGGAGATGTAATTTTCGATCGCAATTTTTATAGATTTTTCCTTTTTTTTCGATCCGATTCCTTTTTTTCGATTCGAGTTTTTTTTTAAATTTTAAGCTTTAAATAACACAAAAGCTTGAATTAGCGATACTGCGTGGAACCCAAACGATACTGTGTACTTCAGATAGCAAAACCGCATTTGTATACTTTGACANTTTTTTTTTAAATTTTAAGCTTTAAATAACACAAAAGCTTGAATTAGCGATACTGCGCGGAACCCAAATGATACTGTGTACTTCAGATAGCAAAACCGCATTAATATAGTGCAATTATAGTGCAAAAATGAAATCGCTGATTAATCGTCACACCCGATCTTTTTTTAAAAGAACCAATAAGTAAAATAGAAAAAGTTATTAGATTACATAGAGCGCAAAATAAGTAAATGTAAGAAAAACTGTTTAAAAAAATAGAATTTATATCAGGGATTTTAACAAGATTAATAATGATAAATTACAAACTTTGAAAACTGTGAAAACGAATTTAATGAGTTCAAACTAATTTCTATTTGAGGAAATATTATTTAGAGGCAAAAATGGCAAAAAATATCATTAAAGATGGAAAATTTTTAAATTCTTCGTTGAATTTTATTAAATTTTAAGCTTTAAATAACATAAAAGCTTGAATTAACGATACTGCGCGGAACTCAAACGATACTGTGTACAGTCAGCAAAAAAAAAAAGATATCACCCTGAATAACTTTTGTTCTAATGATCGGATTTTCACGATCTAANTTAAAAACAAGGAACGAAATTAGTAACAAAAATATTACTAGAGTAACTAGGAACGTTGAAGTTTTTTTCAACCCAGAAAATAAATACTCGTTATCTAAACATTTAAAATGTCACATAAATCAAAGCATTTAAAGATGCAAAACTCAAAACGTATTTCTTTACAAAGAACAAAATACGTTCAATGCTTTAAAACCTTCAAGTGTATAAAATAACTTGAAATGAAGCTAAAGTTATCATAAATATAAAAACAGAACATTAGTCAACTTATCGTAAAAATAGCAATAGTTAGATAGTTAAAATAACATACGTTATAATATAATACGTAATTAAATAATACATAAGTTAAATAAGTTAATACAGAAAATAAAAAATTACTTACTTTCAAATGAAAGATTAAACACGCAATCCATGCTTAAGTTATTCTTAACAAAAGACAGACAACACGAGAACTGAAATAGAAAATGCTTTTCAGAATAGCACATCAAAACATTACATAAATAGAACATTTTCAGAACATCAAAAAAGAAAAATCAGAACTAGTGACGCAACAGAGCAGTCACCTAAATCAATTAAATCCCAATTCTAAACATAGTTACAAGATAAATAAAAAGAAATAGAAAAGCAAATATAATAAATGCAGAAACGAAGTAAATCCAAAACATTACCTTAAATCTTCTCGAATTATTAAAAATCTAATATCTGACGCTCCTTCAGATAGATAATAAAAGCCCAAATAGCACAAATAAAGCACAAATAAAAGCACATAAGCACAAATAAAATTTCTGAACTGGAATAAAATTGAGCTAAAAGCTTAAATAGAGGGCTTTTGTATTAAAGTGCGTTCTTACTGCAGTGTTGTAGTGCGTTTGATTTGTTAGTTACCAAGGATGGGCCCGAAAATGGATGTGAGCAAGGAAATATTTATTATACTGGATAATTTAAAGAAGTTAACAGTTAATAAATTTAAAAAATTAATATTTATTTAAGAGAAAAAAATAGAAAGGAGAAAGAAACATGAATTGCCTGTTTCGCACATAATTTTAGCCACAGATTTGCCCGACATGGATTTGCGCGGGAAAAAATTATATAAATTAACAAAGAAATATTTTGGTAAATATATCTACAATAATATACGATTAACTCAATGATATTATATAACAAATTTTATTACTTTAGTTAGGAATCTATTGTTTTTAATCAAATTTCGAACGGGTTTTTCGATTTGTTTTTTGGATAAATAAAGTTTCATATTAATGTTCCCGATCATGCTTGGTATTTATTTATCGACCCACTGAAGGGATGAAAGGCTGAGTCAGCCTTGCCCGGCCCGAGGAACGACATCGCGAAGCGCTACCGCTCAGCCACCGGGCGAAGTTTTAAGATGATTAAAAATGTTGACTACGCATTAGTATTAATAATTATAAAATATATATTCAAAAACTAGATCATAAATTAAAAGCGATGAAATAGAACGATAATAAATTAAATTTTGAAAACGATAATAAATTAAACTTTAAAAACGATAATAAATTTAACAGTGATATAGTTACGATAGGTGATCTAGCTACGCCACTGATGTTGTTTCTGTTTTTTTGTTCTTTGACATAATGTTCCTTTTTGTATCGCTTTCTTATGTTTAAAAATTAAAAAGTTAGGTCTTATAACGATATTTTTTTCTTTTTCTATAATATTTATTATCCTATATCCTATAATACTTTTCCTATAATAATTTATTAATTTTAATTGTTCTATCATGTCTCACTGCTCGGACATTCTGAAAGGGAAAATTATCGCCCTTTATGAAGACGGAAAATCAATCCGAGAAATAAGTAGATCACTCAGTATTACTTATTATACAGCTAGAAGATGGTGTTTGAGGTAAATAAATTATGTCTATAAGTTGAAAGTTCATAATTGAAGGGTATATAATTTGAATTAAATTCCTTATTGCTTAATTGGCAGCAAAGCTGTAATCCGCATCTAATTTTAGTTTTATATCCGGATTTTTTTATGCATTATAGTAAAAGAATTAGTTTCTCAAAACTTTTTGCATTATTAACTTTCTAAAGGACCATTTTTTTAGTAAATTTATGTTAAACTATACTTGAAAATGAGATTTTTTTTTTGTTAAAAAAAGTTTATGGAGTCTTTTATTTTTTATAGTTTGCTTAAAACTAATTTGATTTTTAAGACTTTTGATGGGTCGTGAAATCGTACTTATAGTAAAGTAATTTATCATTCTGCGCTTATAAATAACCAAATTTATAAATTATGTTTGTAATTAGAAATAAACTCAGAAAAAATGATGAATTGAAGGAGTACTTATTGCAGAGGACAAAATATTTCTCGAGTTTCGGCCTCCCTTCTTGGCCCCCCACCACTCTTAACTATTTCCAGCATTTATAAAAACAAATCTCTTCATTTTTTTTTAAATTTCTGAAATTATTAGAAGATGGCAGCAGAAATAATAGAAAAAATAGATTAGGGATAATATTTACATATTAATGATGTTAGTAGAAAATATTCTTTCCACCGCCTTTTATAAGATATAAATGCTGAGTGAAATAAATTATCTGAAACAAATTCGTATGTGGTCAATAACGTATACGGTTTAATTTTTACTGTGTTAAATTAATAATTTAACTTCTCGATCAATAAGTCAATGACATTCATTGGTTAAATAATTTGTGGCTTAATTAATAGAAAAACTTTAAATATAATCGAAATGTTTGAATTTCTTCCAATAGGGATTTAACTTTGAAAATATTGTAAAACATAAATTAGCCATAAAACGTCTCATTTTAAAATTTAAAAATTATATGAAACAAATAAATGTCTTATAAATTTATATTTTAATTATTTAATATAAATAAATTATTTAGTGTAGTCTAGCAAACTTTTATTTATCTTTACCTACCAGTCTTATCAAACTCATCAATTTTAACATCAAATTTCAAATTACGCTTAGGTATGTAGAGGACTCCTTAATTAAGCTAAATTATTTTTCGCGATTCGCCGAAGCATTGCTAGAGATGTGCTTCTTGAAAAAATTATTTCAAATCTTAAAAAATGTTAATTTTTTTAACTATCTAATGTATGTTAATTGTAAAAATTTTTAAAAAATGTCAATATTTTGGCTCAAAGAAACACATATTGCAGCGATGAATAGAGTTTAAATAGCAAGGTTCGAGAATTTAAAAAAAAAGTAAAAAGATAATAATTCATAAAGATTTAGTTTTCGCTTGCTTACTAGGGTTAGGGTTTTTGCTTCTTCTTGGTAAAACTGAAGACTAATGTAAGAATTACATTAGTAATCATTTAAAAAAGATACACATGCTTTGTAACATTTGTAAAATATCAAGTAAATTAGAATTTTTAACGAAGTTAGCTACCTACTAATATAAGAGTTCACTCTTGAGACTACCGATCACACATAAAATATCCCACAATCTTCCCTACACGGGGGCCAATGGGCCAATTAACTATAAAATAATTGGTTGCTTTAATTTTTCAATAGTATACATTTAATAACGGAAATAATAATTATTTTGAATCATGCTTTATATTTCAAGAGGGAACAGTTCACATAATCGTATCGAATATAAAAATTTGTCTGAAAAGGATAAGAGTAACTTCCTTTAATATTTATTTTTGAACATTAAAATATATATAGATCAATCTACTTCGTTAAGAAAATCCATAATCATGAAAATAAACAATTTATTTTATTCATATTAAAATAAAATATTCGTAAAAAATTTAGGTCAAGAACAGGGGACGTTTCGAGGAAAGAAGGCAGTGGTCGGCCCAAACTATCTAATAGAGCTGAAGACGAATGCGTTGTTGCATATGCAGAAACTAACCCAAGAGTTACAGCTAAGATGATTCGTGACGATATGCGATTACCAGTAAATATAAAATTGTTTTAAAATTTGTAATAATTCGTAAATGTGTTAGCAAAAATATTTATATATATATATATATATATATATATATATATATATANTTCTCTTATTAAGTATTTTCTAAAATAAGTAGCCTCTTAAAGGTTAAGACTCTTAGAATTGTCTAGATATTTTATTTTTTAAATTGAGGTTCCGCCGAAAGAGAGTCGATTTCGTGTTCCACAACCGAAAAAAAATTGGATACCCCTGATGGACTTCAGGAATGGAAATTCCTTCAGGAATGGAATTTCGGATGGAAATTCGACGAACGAATCAGGAATGGGAAAAGCGTCATCATATAGATGAAAACTTACAGAGCGTGGAGGTTGCAAAGCATGTTGAGAGGGTAAACGCATGCAGATTCTGAATCTATAAGAAGCGAGCAATAGAGATCAGTTGATGCTCGTCGTATTAAACTTATCTTCAAGAGCACCCGAA